GGGACCTCTCATACCAAGGAGGGTGGTGCCCTGTTTGCACTGCACACCTGTCCAACTGAGAGCTGTTTTGTGTTGGGTAGTTACTCTGTTGAGTTATCACCACTAGGGAGAGGGAGGTGGAGTTGGAAACTTGGTACCTGGCCAGGTGGAGATCCCTTCTGGGAGCTACCCCCATCAAATATGGTGAGAAAGGYYATCCAAGATGGAGGCAGCCTGCTTCCAACGCTGGGGTGTCTGGTGAGGCAGGGGAGCTGGGCAATGGTGTTGTGGGGGGTAAGTAGCAGCTGAGTGACTTGCGTGGAAGCTGAGYACAGTCTGGAATTCTGCAGAGGTGCTGATCCATGATTCTGCTAAGGTACTCCCGAGCCCTGCATGGGTTAGAACTTTGGGCTTTGGGTTTTCTGGAGTCCTACTCWAATGCTGACACTTGGAGCCCTGAACGGGGGTCACAGCACTGGTAATTTCTGCAGAAATCATCTGTATAGGGGTCCTCTAATACTCTCAGAGAGGCAGTATTTCAACAAGGTGAAATCTGTATCATGGAGTGATATAGAATGCTGCCTCCCTCTGGCCCACCATCTTCTCCTCCCTTCTCTTCATTTTAAAAAAACAGAGCAGCCAACTGTTTGCGTTTAATTGCTTTTCAGGAAYGTCCTGAAGCAGATAGTTATTGTTTGCTTCCTCATCTTCCTGGGCACAAGAGCCATGGGTCCAATATTTAAGATGATAAAAGTGGTTCATAGCCCCAACACAGATTCACTGTAGAATGACAGTGAACAAAACAATGGAGGAAAATGTGAGGATTCCAGAGGGAAACACACACACACACACACACACACACACACACACACACCTCTAGCTCTAGGATCAGCAAGCCCAACCTTCAATCTTATACTCCCTAAGATTCAAATGACTTTGCAAAAATCATCCAAAGTGGATGCTAGGGTGGGACCAGGATTGACTGAATGGGGCTCACAGATTTTGGTCTGAGTTATAGCAAAACACAGGAGGATTGGAGCCTGGTCATCACTGCTTCTCTGGCCTGTGCTCTCTGGGAACCATCTAATATACCAGGACCTCCTAGCAGGTCCCCCCCTAGCAAGTCCCTGACCAAGTGAGCCTCAGTTGAGAATCTGAAGTCATCTTGGATGCCTCCTGCTTTCATGCCTCACTTCACCTACCCCAATCTCCTATGTGGATAAAGGTTCTTTGTAACCAAATCKGTATCCC